AAGTAGGCAACTTTTCAATTTCTCTCTCCCCTCCTCCGAAGCAGTTTCCTCAGGTGTGGCCACTTGCTGTTGAAGATGATCTAGCAGCTCATCAGTGGTTAGTTCTTCATTGTCCTCCTCCACCAACTCTTCCACATCCTCCCACTAACCTCCAACCCAAGGACTTCCCCAGTGCCACAATGGATTCCTCAACTGGCATAGGCTTCTCAGGGTTAGCCTCAAACCCTTTGAAATCCCTTTTGTTTTTTCCAGGCAGAGTTCAAGGTCCTCTTAGTCACTCCCTCCCAAGCCTTACCTATAAGGTTTGCACAATTGAGGATATTAAAGTGATCCTTCCAAAACTCCTTTAGAGTCAATAGTGTGTCTGTGGTCACTTCAAAGCACCTTTCAAACATAGCTTTGTGTACAGTTTCTTGAAGTTGGAAATGACCTGCTGGTCCATGGGCTGCAGGAGAGGAGTGGTATTAGGAGGCAAAAACTTGACCTTAATGAAACTCATGTCCCCAGAAAGTCGCTCTGCCAAGTCTGTAGGATGACCAGGGGCATTGTCTAATACCAGGAGGCACTTAAGGTCTAATTTCTTTTCAATTAGGTAATTTTTCACAGTGGGGGCAAATGCATGGTGTAGCCAGTCACAGAAAAAGTCCCTAGTGACCCATGCCTTACTGTTTGCCCTCCACAGCACACACAAATTAGCCTTGAGGAATTCTTTTGATAATATTAGACACAAGTGCAACTCCTGGGTATCTTTATTGAGGAAACGTTTTGCCACACAGTGGCTTCATCAGTCCATACAAAGGAGAATCTTGAAGAACAGGAGGAGAATGAGGTAATCAGTCCTCAACCTTGAGTCGATGTGGTCAGTCCATCAATCTTGAATAGATACGGCATACGTGCTGAGAGAGCTTATAAACCGTTGGCAGGAGAGGTGCAGCAGTCATGGTTCTACTGAACCATTCATCTACAAACCTGTCAGACACTGCAAACTTCTTGGGATTCTTAATACTTGGGAATTCTTCGCTTGCCTAATTCTTGGGCACGACCTACTTCAACATTGAACAAATGTTACACTACCTATGACTGCTGCACCTCTCCTGCCAACGGTTTATAAGCTCCTTCTCAGCACGTATGCCGTATTCTATTCAAGATTGATGGACTGACCACATCGACTCAAGGTTGAGGGACTGATTACCTCATTCTCCTCCTGTTCTTCAAGATTCTCCTTTGTATGGACTGATGAAGCCACTGTGTGGCGAAATGTTTCCTCAATAAAGATACCCAAGAGTTGCACTTGTGTCTAATTTATCAACATGTCGGTTCTCTGAACCATTCATCTACAAGACATTCTTTTGCCTGAACGCTCTGGGAGTTTCTGAGTGATACACCAATAAAGGCTTCACTTTGCAATCACCACTAGCATTGGCACACATCAACAGAGTAAGCCTGTCTTTCATAGGCTTATGTCCTGGGAGTGCCTTTTCCTCCTGAGTAATGTAGGTCCTGCTTGGTAATTTCTTCCAAAACAGGCCTGTTTTCGTCACAATTAAACACTTGTTCAGGTTTCAATCCTTCAGCCTCTATGTACTCCTTGAATTCATGCACATATTTTTCAGCCTCTTTGTGGTCTGAACTGGCAGCCTTACCATGCCTTATCACACTATGTATGCCACTACGATTCTTAAATCTCTCAAACCAACCTTTGCTGGCCTTAAATTCACTCACATCACCACTAGTTGCAGGAAATTTTTTTACCAAATCGTCATGCAACTGCCTAGCCTTTTCACAAATGATTGCTTGAGAGATGCTATCTCCTGCTATCTGTTTTTCATTTATCCACACCAATAACAGTCTCTCAACATTTTCTAACACTTGCGGTCGCTGTTTCGTAATCACAGTTGTGCCTTTTGCAAGAACAGCTTCCTTGATTGCCGTTTTGTTGGCCACGATAGTAGAGATGGTTGATTGGAGTTTTGTATACAACTTGGCCAGCTCCGACACACGCACTCCACTTTCGTACTTTGCAATTATCTCTTTCTTCATTTCAACACTCATTAGCACCCTTGGTCTCGAAGGGTTGGCACTGGGAGCTTTCTTGGGGCCTATGGTGACTTATTTTGCAGAAACAGGCACCAAAAACAGTGATAATATGGAAAATATGGAATGTACCGAATGTATCCTTAGATGCGAGCACACTGGCTGGCTTGTAAACACAGGCACACAAGGGGCAGTTCAGGCCACACGTGGACATGTCTCGTACGCATCGTATCGCATACCGGGTTTTGTATCGGGAAGCGAGGCAAATTTTTTTCAATCAAACGCATCGGCTACCGGATTTATCGGATACCGATAGCATCGGGAACCGGGGGTCCACTGTACGAGAAGTCAATGGGTCGATTTTTTGCTTCCATTCACGAGCAAAATTTCCACAAGCAAGCAGACCTCAAGGCAGGTTCATTGACACTGGTGAGGGGCTCTTGCTCTTGATCTCGGGAATTGTATCTCACTTGTTTGTTGGACTATCTTATTGAAACTTGGGCAATGTATGATGGTAAGATGCTTCTTAATGTACACCAAAAATGAATGAAATCTAAGCATAAATAATGGAGTTCACTTCTCAGCAATTAGCCACCCCTTAGTAGTAATTTCGAATGATTTTTATGGTTGTATTCTCGTTTTTTTTTTTGGTCTCATTTGATAGAATGGAAGATACATTACAAAAATAGATATGATTTTGATTGCTTTCACGATGAAAAGTACCTTGAAATAGAGCTCAACCTAGGAGAAATGGTCCATTGCTTGGCTGTTTCAGAGTAAACAAATGATGTCACTGTCCATTCCAATATGCAGTCGTGAATGGGTTGACATTATTTATACAATTATTGCAATAAGGAATAACAGTAATTATATTTATTGTGTGAATAAAAATTACAAATTATTTATATAAATAATAATAACAATAAATAATTAATAATAATAATAATAATAATAATAATAATAATAATTAGGTCAGGGGTTTCAAATAAACATTTAAGCAGTGTAATGTGATCCTCTACTGACAACATTTCGCCCACGCAGTTGGCTTTATCAAGTCATAGATCTGTTTGTGACTCGATAAAGCACACTGCGTGGGCGAAACGTTGTCAATAAAGGATCACATTACACTGCTTAAGTGTTTATATTTCCATTGTGTCGGTATTTTATACCATTTATTTCCATACCACGTAAGTAATGAAATCTATTAACTCTATATGATTAAACAAAATAGTACTACCCTATAGCCACACACAATATAAACAATTAATAGCTTACAATACATTCATTTTGTGTTTACATTAGTCATTACTATACTTTAACCCTTAAACAGTCCAAACATATATATACGTTCTTACGCGTAGCGCCCCAAACGTATACTTATACGTTTTATTTTTCCTGCCTTCAAATTTGGCACGATTGGCCTGAGATGCCTTGTCAGCATATAATGGGTTGTAACACTCAGTGTGCATGGTATTAAAAAAAATCTGGGACCACTTAGTACCTTGTGGGAGTGCCAGTTAAATTGAGTGCCAGCTAGAGCAAACAGTGTGGCAAACACCAAGGATTCACTGATGTAATGTCATATTAACACTTGTCTTTTAAGAGGAAAGTGATGTTAACCCCAAGTTTAGGGTCTGTCTATCTCTGTATCTCTGTCTATCTCTCTATCTGTCTCTGTCTTTGTCTATCTGCAACTGTCTCTGTCTCTATCTGTCTTTGTCTATCTGTCTCTGTATCTCTTTCAATCTGTCTCTCTCTTTCTATCTCTATCTCTGTCTCACAGGTACACATAGTATACAAGTATACATAGTGTAAATTACCTAGGATAACCCAAAAAATCCAGACAAAGTGCTATACTCTGCTTGAAGATGTGAGTAAAGGTGATGACGCAGTCTTGTGGCTCTCTCTGAGACAGAGCTAGATGGATAGACAGATAGACAGGGAGCATGACAGACAGACAAATAGACAGACAGACATGTTTGTGTACCAGCGAAAACAAAGTGAGGGCGATGCTAATCAAATATCACCTCTAATCTTTTCTTATCAGCTGCACCCTCCCCCGCCCTCGTGTATGCTCATTAAACGTCAGCTCTTATCAGATGTTATCTCATCTTATCATGTCACTGTCAGGGGTGGACTTTGTTTTTCATGCTTCAAGGGAACTTATTATTACCTATTATTATTATTATGTATTATTCTTCTTCTCCTTCTCCTCCTCCTCCTCTTCCTCTTCCTCCTCCTCCTCTTCCTCTTCCTCCTCCCCTCCTCTTCTTCCCCCCCTCCTTTCCCTCCTTCCCCCTCCCCTCCCCTTCCTCCCCCTCCTCCTTCTCCTTCATCCCTCCTCCTCCCCCCTCCTCCTTCCTCCATCTCCTCCTCCACTCCTCTCTCTTCCTCCTTCTCCTCCTCCTCCCTTCTCCTCCTTCTCCCTCTCCTCCTCTCCTCCTCATGGTTATTATATACTTCCATAGCCCAAAAAACATTGCTGGGAATATACATACTTTTTATTATTCCAAGGGAAATGTAAATGGCGAAGGCAGGTGTAAATGTCCCCTGTCAGTGTGTTTGTGACCAATTTGCGTACAAATTTCAGTACCTAATACTAGTGTCAGAACAAAGATTGGTTATAAAATGACAAGAACTACTACAAATTGTAATTATCAGAACATAAAAATTACATAAAATATGAAAAATAGAAAAAAAGGTATATCGGCAACACTTCTGCAAGCGGTAGGACTCGATGTTGCTGTCACATGAGCATCCAGTGCCAACTTCCCAGCCTCATATCTCGGTAAGTACTGACCCTAATTTTTTTTTATTCTACAACATGTTAAAAAAGTGTTCTTTTTTTCTATAAATTTTTTTTTTTTTTTTTCAAAATATTCGGGGCGCCTAGCAAGTGAACATATATATACGTTTGGACCGTTTAAGTGTTAAATATGACTTAAAAAGGAAAAAAAAAGTAGATAAACATAAAATTTTTAATGCATTAAATAATCTAATGATGAATTAGACGTAAGTGCAACATCTGGGTATCTTTACTTATAGATGTTTCACCATCCCATGGTTTTATCAATACAATACATGGACATAACAGAAATATATACAGCAAATACTGGAAGATGAGGTAATTAGTCCTTTAACATTAACCCTTAAACTGTCCAACCAGATCTACATTAACATGCGTAGTGCTCCAAAAGTAGATTTACGTTTTTTTACATATTTTCAAATATAACAAAAAAAAAAAAATGTAGATCAAAGTTTTTCTTACACATTTTCAAAAGTAAAAAACAAAAGAAGATCTACGTTTTTTACATACTTTCAAATGTTGAAAAAACGTAGATCTACGTTTGGACAGTTTAATGGTTAAATAATCCTTCATCGCATTGTGACTCCTAAGTCTGCTGTTGCCTTTTCTTCTATTCTCTTATGGATAATGTTGACCTCTTCTTGTGTGATTACCTTTTCCATATGACGGTAAACTATGCGGTAGCAGCAAGAGGTTGATTTCTTCTTTGGATGAGTGTAAGTATCAATCAGATAAACCTGCAACACAAAGTCAATGTATTACACTTTTCCTTGTAGAGACTTGAAGTAAATTAATATTTTAAGTATATCTCAAGAGTACATTCTTAGAATACCAGTAAAATAAGAACTTGCATTAAATTAGAGAAAAGAAAAGCAAACAAAAAATTTCACCTTTCATTACGGCCGACAGTTCACCAACTGAACACTGCTACATGTTACCATGCTATCACCTACCAGAGTAACTTACCATTTACTCTGTCATTTTCCTTTGGTGCTGCTGGTAAACATTTGTTTGGCTTTTCTGTAGGTAAGATTATTTGAATGGCAGCCAGATGCCCATACGGAAATAGGTACTGAACTGTGCTGCCAGCTGTCGCATTTTATTTTCAATCTGCATATTTGTAATTAAAATATACAGGCATACCTTGTTAATGTGGCAATCTCTTTAGAGCGCTTTGTTATACAGAATGTTTTATGTTCATGTTTATTACTTTCAATGCTTCCCTTGCTTTAACCCTTAAATGTCCAGTATAATATACATTATGTCCGTTCACTTGCGCAGCAACCCGAATATTTTGAAAAACAAAAAAAAAAAAAAATTAGAAAAAAAGAGCACATTTTTTTAAGTGTTTAGAATACAAAAAAAAAAAAATTAGGGCCAGTAATTACCGACGTATGAGGCCGCGAAGTTGCAGTTAGTGTCACTTGACGGAACATGGAGCGCTGCTGCTATCAGAATTTTTTTTTTTTTATTACCACATGGCAGATTCCACAAGGAGGGTGGCCCGAAAAGAACAACTTCCCAGCACTTCACTCCATCTCTGTACTTGCCAGAGGGTGCATTACACCACAGTTTTTCAAACTGGCAAATTAACACCTCCTTTCAGTGTGCAGCACTGTACTTCCCCATCTCCAGGACTCAATGTCCGGCCTGCCGGTTTCCCTGAATCCCTTCATAAATGTACTTTGCTCACACTCAAACAGCACGTCAAGTATTAAAAACCATTCGTCTCCATTCATTCTATTCAGACCACTCATGCATGCTGCTGGAGTCCAGCCCCTCGCACCAAAACCTCCTTTACCCCTCCCTCCATACCTTTCCTAGGCCGACCCTACCCCGCTTCCTTCCCACTACTAGATGATACACTCTTGAAGTCATTCTGTTTTGCTCCCATTCTCTTACATGTCGAACCACCTCAACAACCTGCCTCAGCCCTCTGGACAACAGTTTTGGCAATCCCGCCCCCCCCCCCCCCCCCCAAACCCTCCGCCTAACTTCCAAATCAAATTCTCTGCATTATATTCACACCACACATTTGCCTCAGACATGGACATCTCCACTGCCTCCAGCCGTCTCTTGCTGCAAACTTATCACCTGCTTCACACCATATAACCGTGTTGGTTTAAACTATACTTCTCATACCCTCTTCCCCTCTTTGCCTCCAAGAACAAAGTTTTTGTCCCCCCCCCCCCCCCCCCCCCCCCCCCCCCCCCCTCCAGCCAAGACACTCCTAAGTGCACAGCTCCCACAATCTTCTCCCCTCCATCAAAAATGCTTTTACATAAATCCTCTTCATAGATACTTCATACTCACTATTTCTCCCAAAAATGTTGAATACATTCACCGCTCCATAATCTCTCCTCCAATCTGATATCAATCGTTCATCACTGATCTTTTTGTTATCTCAAACCTTATCTTTCTTTATTTACTTTTTAATTTTTTCTTTGCACAACCTACCAAAATTATCCACATACCACTGCAGCTTCTCTTCAGAATCTCCCAAGGGCACAGTGTATCAGCAAAGAGCAACTGTGACAACTCCACTTATGTGGATTCTTTATCTTTTAACTCCACACCTCGTGCCAAAACCCTCACATTTACGTCTCTTTACAAACACCATCTATTTAATGTGTTGTTGTAAACAACCATCTGTGATATCACACATCCCTTGTCTAAGGCCTACTTTACTGGAAAATAATTTCCCTTTTTATACGTACTCTAACTTGAGGCCTCACTATCCTCGTAAAAACTCTCATGCTTTCAGTAACTACCTCCTTTTACTATAGCACTGCAATAGCTGCACATTGCCCCTATTCCACCTGTCATATGCCTTTTTCCCAAAAAAAAAAAAATCCATAAATGCCACAAAAAACTCTTTGCCTTATTAAGTACTGTTCACTTATATGTTTCATGGTAAACACCTGGTCACACACCCCCTACCTTTCCTAAAGCCTCCTGTTCATCTGCTATCCGATCTCCGTCTTACTCTTAATTCTTTCAATAATAACTCTGACCATACACTTTACCAGGTATCTCAACAGACTATACCCTATTAATGTTTGCCACTCTCTTTTGTCGTTTTGCCTTTATACAAAGGAACAATGCAGATGCTCTCTGCCTATCCCTAGGTACCTTACCCTTTTCCATAATTTATTAAATAATAGCACCACACTCCAAAAACTATATTCACACCTGCTTTTAACATTTCTATCTTTATCAAAACAATCCCAGTGCTTTACCCTGTCATTTTACCTATGCTCACGAACTTACCCCGCTCCACAACTGGCTCTTCCTCACTCCTACATGATGTATTCCTCCTTTGCCCTATACCGAAATCCCAGCTTCCTATCTTCAGAACATTTAACAATTCCTCAAATATTCCCTCCATCTTCCCTAGATACCTTAACTCTCCATTTACTAACTCTCTCTCCTATTTTAATGAACAAATCCATTTGTGCTCTGGCTTCCTTAACTTGTTAATCTCACTCCAAAACTTTTTATTATTTTCAACAAAATTTGTTTGATAACAACTCACCCACTCTCTCTTTTGCTCTCTTTTTACATTGATTACCCGCTCTTAACCTCTCTCTTTTTCTCCATATACTCTTCCCTCCTTGCATCTTTACTTTGTAAAAACTTCTCATATGCTAACTTTTTCTCCTTACTACTTCTTTTACATCTCATTCACAATCGCACCTCTTCCCTCCCGCACCCACCATCTGTAAACCACAAACTTCTGCTGAACACTTTACACTACATTTTTAAACCTACCCTATACGCCTCTTCGACCATTGCCGATGCTTCATTAGCCCAGCTATCCTCCAATAGTGTTTTATATCTTACTCTAACTGGCCTCCTCTTTTAGTTTATAAACTACACCTATTTCTCTTCCCTGTTGCTTCTATTCTCCTTGTATCCATCTACCTTTTATCTAGTGTAGCTTACAACTAAAAAGTGTTCTGATATATTTCTGTGGCCCCTCTATAACATGTACATCATGAAGTCTACTCACAGTCTTCTATCTACGGAATTCATAAATCCAACAAATACTTCATTTTGCCCCTACCTCATATTTTGTTATACTTATTTAGCCTCTTTTTCTTATATTATGTATTACCTATAACTAACCCCTTTCTATCCAAAAGTTCTATCAAAGGGCTCCATTATCATTTACACCTGGCACCCCAACTTACCTACCACACCCTCTCTAAAAAGTTTCTCCTATTAGCATTCAGGTCTCCCTACCAAAATTACTCTCTCACTTGGTTCAAAGGTTCCTTACCATTACTTAAACATCTCCCCAAATCTCTCTCTCTCTCTACCATTCCTCTCTTTCAGTGCATACACGACTTTGATTACACACTTTTCGCAATCCAACCTTTTACTTTAATCCATCAAATCTTCGAATTTACAACTTTCATATTCTCTTTTTCTTCTAAATGATCCTTCAACAATTATTGCTACCCTTCCTTAGCTCTAACCTCTTAAATACTTCAGATTTAATCCCATTTATTTCTCCCCACAGAAACTTCCCCTACCCCTTCAGCTTTGTTTCGCTTAGGGCCAGGACATCCAACTTCTTTTCTTCATAACATCAGCAATATCTGGTTTCTTGTCTTCCGCACTACATCCACGCAATTCAAGCATCCCCGTTTTTAAAGTTTTTCTTCTTCCTCTTTTTCGTAAATGTTACAGGAGAAGGGTGTTACTAGCCCATTCTCCCTGCATTTTAGTAGCTCATACGCCACGCATGGTTTACGGAGGAAAGTTTCTTTTCCACTTCCCCATGGACAATAAAGAAATAAAAAAGAACAAGAGCTTTTTAAAGAAGGAGAAAACTAGATGTATGCATATATACCGTGGACCCCCGCCATGCGACCTTAATCGTGCAAGAGGGTCTGGCTGTTATGCGAAATGTTCGGTATGCGAATGAATTTTCCCCATAAGCAACAATGGAACTCAATTAATCGTGCAAGACACCAAAAGTATGAAAAAAAATTGTACACATGAAATATAACATTTTCCTACACCACAAAGAGAAGGATACATTGCACATAGTAGAGTAGTACATGCACATTATATATGGTGCATTGTACTTACTCTACTAATGAAGAATAAATGACCTTACCTTTATTGAAGATTGCAGCAATGATATGAGACACTGTTTCCTGGGAGTGCCTTTTCCTCCTGAGTACTGTAGGTCTGTTTGGTATTTTCTTCCGAAACAGGCCTTATCACTGTGTATGACCACTAGATTCTTAAATCTCCTCAAACCACCTTTGCTGGGGCCTCTAAATTCACAATATGAGCACTCGTCCAGGGCATTTCCTGTTCACCCTGGGTGTTAGTCGACTTTGGTGTGGGTTGATCCTGGGAGGACAAGATAAGGGACCCCAATGGAACCTAAGTTAGACAGTCTTCGATGACACAGACTTTTTTGGGGTATCCTGGGTGGCAATCCTCTGGGGTTAATTGTTTTGGACTTCTATAAGCCACCACCAACACCGGTGGTACAGGCAGCTGCAGCAGCAGACGGTGGTACAGCAGCAACAGACGATGCTACCGCAGCAACAGACGATGCTACAGCAGCAGCAGACGATGCTACAGCAGCAACTGATCGTGTTTACAGCAGCAGCAGGACGATGCTTCAGCTGCAGCAGCAGCAGCAGACGATGCTAAGCAGCAGCAGCAGATGTGACGGTTGGTACAGCAGCAACAGACGATGCTACAGCAGCCA